TTGTTGAACCTAAATTAAATTATAATAAAAAATTGAAATAAAAAATTACACAAAAAATATGAATTTTAAATAGTTATTTGATACTAATATCGATATATTTTTGTCAAATTTTTATGTTATCTTCAAATTTATATTTTATTCAAAAATAAAAACATCATTGTTTTTTCAAAATCACATATGACTATACTATAACATCGATTGACATAAAGAATCAAATTAAATGTTAAAATCAATATGTATCTCGCTGCATTGCACGAGTACCTTTCTAGTGTGTGTGTGTGTATATATATATATATATATATGGGTACATATATGTATATAGAAGGAGGATTATACAAGAAGCTAACTAATCTACGAGAAGGTGAGAAAGAATGTGAGGCCACATAATTCATTAATCAAAAAATAATTCAGTTTGATAGCACTGTACAAAGTGCATTTTTTATCCATCTTAAAATTGTAATTAGATTATTATATCTCTATAAAATAAACTAAACATTGATACATTTCAAATGCCACTGGACTCACTCTTATACGATTTTTCTATAATTTTATACAATATATTTTAAAACAGGATATAACATTGACTTTCAAGTCCTAGAATGGTCATTTATAATCATCATTTTGAGTACTTTGACTTTGAAAAGTCAAACAGTCATACTTTCATTCAATAATTTCAACTAATTCTTGTAATTTTATCCTAGGGATGGACCTATAGTGGTGCATACGATGGCACGTGCCACTGTATTATTCCTCCGTCCAAGGTAAAAAAAAGCAGGTTCGTGAAATGTGCAACCGTATTAATTTGTTATGTGTCACCTTATGTATTTTGAATACAATGAGAACAAGTTTTATTTCATATAGTTGGTTTGCAATACTTTTATTCCACCCAAGACCCAAGTTCGAATCATGTCAGTGTCATTTTCTTAATCAAATGGTGTCACCTTTGAAAAAAAATTAGTATAGTTGTTTCTTATAGTCAAACGGTGTCATTGTTTGAAAAAAAATTCTTATATTTTTTTATAGTCAAACGATACCACCGTTTGAAAAAAAATTCGGGTTCGTCCCTGTTTTATCCATCATTTTACTAAATAACAAAATATATATATATATATATATATATATATATATATATATATATCATAATTTACTCAAAATACTAAGATATTATCAATTTCACATCAATCCTAAACCTAATCTCCATCAAATGATCTAATACATGAACTAAACAAAGTTAGTAGCTTTATACCTTCTATTTCTTGTTTGATTCACCAAGAATGATGTTAGATCCTTTCTGTATGTGTAAAATCGCACCTAAATAAACCCAGAAGTTTGTAGAGGTGAAATGGGGGTGAAAATGGGGCCAAAATCGGGTTTTTCCGAATTAAACACGTTTTCGGTCGGGTTGACCTGGCTTGGTTGACTCATCACCTATTTTGACCAACTAATACAAAAAAATTCATAACTTTTCGCTCGGACCTCCGTTTTCGATGGGCTTTTCGCCTACGCATTTGTAACAAGATAATATGTAACTTAGAATAAAATTATTCTACAAAAAAATCTCCTAATAAAAGCAGTTTTACATGGTTGTAGGTGTTATGCTTTCCTTTGCAATTTTGTCGTTTTTGATTTTAAGCTTGGAATCCCGTAAAAATTTTCCGACACCTCCGACAACTCCTAATAGATGCAAAACTTAGTTCCAAAGCTTAACATCCCATCAAACATCTCATGTTTGAGTGTTGTGTGCGTAGTTTACCGAAATAGCAACGTAATTTGTAAAACTTGCATAAAATGCAATCTACGTGACTTTTTTGACTTCCGCCACTTCTAACACTTCATATTAACTTATTCAAAGGTGTTCCAACCTTCAACATTTCATACTATATTTATTAATAATATAATATATTAATTAATACAAACCAAATGCTAAAGTATGTTAATTAATAAATTTTCAATTTGGTTTATTTTGTATGTGTATATATATACTAGAAGGGTACTCGCRCAATGCAGCGAGATACATCTTGATTTTAATATTTCGTTTTATTCGTTATCTCAATCGATGTTATAATATGTGATTTTAAAAAAAGCAAACAAGAAGGCATTAAGAGACCCTCGGTAATTTGTATTTGGTCGTGACCCTAGACAAGTCACCCTCCTGGCCCAACCCTAGACACTCTAAGATCAACTTTAGCTGGTCGTGACCAAGAAACCATCGGAAAAGGAAGAAAATTCCATGGACCGACCTCATGATGGTGTTTTTATTTTTGAATAAAATATAAATTTGAAGATATTATAAAAATTTGACAAAATTATATCGATATTAGTATCAAATTAACTATTTA